TGTTTCCAGTTTTATGTATCGGTAGGTAGTGAGTTAATTCCTGATAGCACAGTATTGTATTTAGTGTTGGACAATGTTTTATTTTCTTGATAGGGAATGTTTCTGAGCAGTCCAGGGTTATCCCTGCTTTTTGGAAGAATGCCCTGGGAACATCAGATTGTGTTTGAACAACTGCCGAAAGGCCTTAACTATAAATCATGCAGTCTTTCTCATCCTTCCCTCCTTCATTGTAATGTCAGTGTTCTTGTGCTGGACACCTACATGTTCATGACCTGTTTATAGCCAGCGCTCTACTGGCTATAATCTGCTCTCTTATTTAGCATAATATTAAAATAAATCACTACCATACTCAGTTTTACAGTCTCTTTCACTAACCTCTGAAATACTTTTAGAATATATTATTTCATTATCACATTCACTCTCCTATTAATGATGAATATGGATGGAGTGGAATTTGTTTTATTAGCAACTGGCTCAAATGTCACTCATGCCAAACATGTTTGGGATCATTCGTTAGTTTTACTCTTCTACTAACTAGTGCTTGCTAACTGCTGCAGGAGAACCAGTAGAGGGAGCAAACGCTAAATTAAGAATTTAACAAATTTAGTGATCTTTTGGGACAGTTTAATGTTTTTATTCTCTTGAGGTTGGACTATTTCAAACAGCTTTTGGAATCTGAGTATCTGGAAACCTTTTCTGATCAGCCTGGCATTAAATATGATAATCAGTTTTTAAAAGTGGAGTTGTTTGGGCTGGTGATCACCTTTGATGTCATCAAAGTCATTGACATTGACTTCGGTGGGGTTTCTGAGCTTGGACCTGTCTGAAGTGGTCCTTGATGCCACTGTTGCACAGATGACAATAGCATGGCAATTTTAAATTTCATTTAAATTATTTTAAAGAGTTGACACACACATACAGTTGACACTTCATGAATCTGTCCCTTCTGTGATAATTCATGCTTATGTCTTGACAGCACAAACTGTGGCCTGATTTCTTACAAGCTGCCATTACTGTATTGGCAGTGTTGATAGTATCTCCCTGTTTTTTTATCCAGAATCACTTGCCTGCCTTGCCTATTTGATTTGGCTTGTAATAGTAATTAACAAATCCACAACTTTAACACATTTTCTGGGCTGAGACCTGTGTGATTGTGTCCCAGTTTAATGTGTTTCAGTACTGGAAATTCACCTTCCTAGCACTGGGCACTCACAGTACTTTAAAGATGGTCCAGGAGTACCTGGGGAGGTACAAGTAACATTCGGTGTGTGTGAAGACAGTAGTAACAATGGGAGTAGAGCAGCTTGGTGCTTGTTGCATACCCAGGATATTCCCTCAAGCCCTCCAGGGTATTTTCTGACTTTCAGGGTAGAACTTGTGCTAATGATTATTTTTAAACCAATTCTCATTTTCTAAACCAATGCAAATCCAGTTATTCATTAGGAGCTCTAACTCAAATACTGCGATGGTTGCTAAGTTTTGAAACATCTATAAAGAATAATAATAGTTTGTGGAGGAAGCTTCTTTCTAAATGCTTTTGTCCAAAGTAGAATAAAATTCTTCACCTGCTCCACAGATATTTCCAAATTAATAGTAACTCTGTTTTCTGTCTCTCATTCTCTGCTTATTGCCTGTATCTGTTATTTCCTTTTATTTTCAGCTTTATTGTATTCCTTCAGAGGCATCTGTGTTCTTCTTTTCAGGACAATTTGCAGCAAGCTATTACATACCTGTATAGAATCATAGAATAATTATGGTTGGAGAGGACATTAAGATCATCTGTTTCCAACCTACCTGCCGTGGGCAGGGACACCACACACTAAA